AATAATGATAATAAAATTAAATTTATTTGATATATTCCAAAATTAATTTTAATTGATTTGATCATCTATTAATCATTTTTAAAACCAATATATATACATATTAAACTTATACATAGCTTAAAAGGTCAAGTAAATAAATAGGTCAATAGATTAAAAATTTGGAAAGTGAAACTTATTTTTTACACAAATGTAATTTGAGAGTTGAATATTATAATTGAAAAAAGAGAATACAAAATTATTCTATGATAATAGCAATTAAAGATTTATTACTTTCAATATGAATTTAATTAAGAGTGATTTAAAGTAAATAATAATAAAAAATCAAAATAATTAATTTAATATTTTTTAAAAATAATTCAAATAAAATAAAATACAGGACATATGACGATTTCTTAATATCGTCTGCATGTCAATAATATAGGCCATCCACATTGGACATTTTCCCTTTTCACCAAATGTTTTGGCTTTTATATATTTATATAAGATACACCTAGGCCATTAAATAACAATAGTTTACTTAACAAAAAAAATAAGGCTTTTTAATATTAGGGTTTAACCTTTCAAAGAAGATTGTGTTATATAAATTAGATCATTAAATACAAATAATAGTTAATATGTAATTTGACCCTTGAACTACATTACTTTTAATGATTTGATACCTATAGAAATAATTCATGATTAGATACCCAAATTTTGTTTCCGTCAAATATTTTGTCCCCTTGTCAAAATATTGAAATGATAAATATTGATCAATAAAAATATGTGATGTGTCATTATTTTATTAAATATTTTTTGTCACATTAGCTTATCATTAATAGATTAGTGTGGGATAAAATGCTTCGAAGAAAATAAAATTCGGATACCTAATTATAAATTTTTTTTATTGATATCGGATAGTGAAAATAATACAATTCAAAAATTAAATCACACATTAACCAAAAAAAGAAAAAATAGAATCATACCCCATGCAAACTGCAATATATTAATCTAATTGATACTAAATAGTGTGACACCAGTAGAAACTAATTGTGTGGAATAAGACCGAAGTGAAATTCTTTTTTTTTTTTTTAAGCAAAGAATGAAGTGAAATTCTCAGTGTTCAATTAGTGTTCTTCCCTTTCACCCACACACACACACGTTACGCACGCACATATATATATATTATAATAAAAAATGTGAGTACCTCCCTAAATGTAAATTATTCTAAAAACAAGAATTCTTTCTGTAAATAATTTAATAAAGAAAAGGTCTTAGAACTTTAAGTTTTTAAGTTAAATCCCACTATATGAAGTTTGGTTTAATTTTATGTTGAATTTATTTATTTATTTTCTAATTTGTTGATTGATTGTTTAGTAGTTTTTGTATATATAAATGTAATGCTTTATTATAATTATAAATTCTCTTACACTTATTATTTCTTAAAAAAATACTTTGAAAAATTTCCTTACTAGATAGTTTTATTTTATTACCCTTATTTTGTGTATCAAAGATTATTATTAGGCTCATTTATTGAGGATCAAAATCTGTGATTACATTGAAGATAAGTCAAAGAGATTCTAGGAAATCATGCTAAAATTTTCAATTTAGGGATACTTATTAGATTTATTGGTACATTAGATAAAAGAAAAAATTATTATTCTCTTTTGTGCAACTCAAGATATGGTAACCGATTTAATCAAAGATTTCGTATATAGCTAGTAGCCTAGAATGATCCTAACAAATTGCAACTGTTAATTTGTAACAATGAACCAAATTGAAGTTATGGTGTCATCATTTGTTGGAATCAAAAGTTCTGCGATATTGGGATAAATAAAATGTTAAAAATTTTAAAGTAATAAATTCTCAAAGAGCTATATATTTTTTTGGCTAATCAACTATGATTCCAAGCTATTGGAGAATTGATCTGATCGCAATTTTAAATATGAAATTCAAAGGAATCTAATAAAAAATAATATTTTAAATTATAAAACTATAATAAAATATATGATCAACCAACATTTATAATTTGACGGTGCATTGCTGTAGTTTTTTTTTTTAATGTATTTGTTTCTTTACACAATCTACGAACTTGTACAAATGCCTATAAATTTAATTTTCTTGATTTGAGTTAAACGGAACTTTCCTAATTGATCTAAATTTAGCTTTTCTTTTTTTTTTTTTTTCAAATTGGGCTTCACAAAGATTTGTAACAGTCTAATAAGTGCCCCAATGCTCCGAATTACATGTGGCAAACCTTAATACATGTTATAAATTACATATTATTATTGTAATTAAATGAATCTGAAATGTAATTTGTTTGATTTGGGATTAAGCCCATAAATTAGAGATGTCAATTGATAGAGTATAGAGTGGATAAAGTATTTTTCATTTTTATTTTTGAATTTTTATATTATATTCATTTCTGTGCTTATACCTTGGATATTTCAAATATATCTTTATCTTCACAAGTATTTAATAAGTATGGATAATTTTCATTTTCGTAATTTTAAAAAAAATAAAAACAAAATTTTATTTTTTAATTTAAAAATAATAATAATAACCACAATGTCATATCTATCATTATCTCCATTTAGATAAAAAAAAACCAAATTCTCCATTGGGTAACATAAAGTTGGCATCTCCACAAACCATTTATAATTCACCATGGGTTTAGCGATAGATTACCAGAAATTTTGAAGTTATTTCAAATGGCCCGTTGGGAATGAAAGGTAATAGAGTTGGAGTTAAGCTCTCCTACCATAGATTTATGTTATGGTGTCAATGTAAGTTGACTTTGTACGAATTGCATTTGTATTTAGAGGTTATTGACCTGATCGGATTGTTTTCCAGTAGAATATGCAAGTTACTAACCTGGGGAGGTAAAAAAACTGGTGTTTATCATCTTTTTCAAGGACTTGTTTAGGACATACCTTGTTGCCTGAAAGAATATTTTAGTTTTGGAGGAGGTTAGGATGCCTTTTTTATATTATCTTTTGTGTTAAATGCATCATTACATGTTGCTGTTTTCTGTTTTCATAATATTGATATCTTGCGGCTTGATATTTGTGCAGCCTTTTTGCTTTGAACTTAATGGTGACCCACAGATACATTGGAATTTAAAACTTAGTTCTGTCTCTTTAACAGGAATCCATCAGCTATTAGTTACTTTACACCTGTTGATGCTATAAATGATTGCAATTTGCCGGAGTAAATTGTCATTTGGCTTTTGATAGTCATTTTGCAATCTGAAAATATCATGTGAAGAAGCTTTGAAGGTTGTTTTTCCTTTATTGGATGGCCTAGACCTTGCAGCTTGCATGGTGGTCTGCAAGCAATGGAGACACATAGCTAGAGATGATTACTTTTGGAAATGTTTATGTGCAAGGAGATGGCCTTCCATTTGCACGCGGCCCAACCGTCCTATTGTAACGTACTAAAAACTGTATCAAACCCTTTATAAACGGAAGCGTCAGCGAACTCTTCTTCCTCCAAGGCTTTCCTTTGATGATTTGATGTGGAATTCTTCATTGACGTTTGGACTGAAGATAAATTGATTTTCTCTGAAGTTGTCCCTGGCCCTGTCCTCCAGAGTGGAATCAAGATACCACCTGCTAGAATCTGTAACATGCTTAAGTTTCATCTTGAGTGTCCTGAGTACAAGATGACCTTACCTGTTGACCCAAGGTTCGCTGTTCCTTGGAGCCAGACTGTGAGTGTTTCAGTGCTTGTGGGGCGGAAGGACAACAATAAGGTTGCCTGCATAATTAATAAGTCACTGTTTGATTATATAGATCATGCGGCTTCCAGGGCCCTAGCTTTCGACTACCTTGACTTCTCTCCCAACTATCCCTTCATTTCGGGAATCCGGGCATGGATCTCTTTGCTTTTTGTGGAAGATGGAAATGATGGTGTGATTGATGTTTTTGGCATTTAAATGGACTTTGGTGATGCTGCCAATTCCGAAGAAGAGGTATTGTGGCTATTTGACATGCTTGACTGTAAATGAATGGTAGAAGCTTTTGTAGATGGTACAGGAAAGAAAATGAACTGGAAATGTAATAATATGTTCAGCCTTCACTGTGCTTTTCATTGGGGATGCTCTTCCCTTGCCTTCCTGGCTCAAGTGACATCATTTTCTCGCGTGTTCATAACTTTGTACGTTCAGATTTTTTTATTCATTGTAATAAATAAATATGAAGAGTTCCTGTATTTATCTCATCATCCTTTTGAATGACAATATCAGCTTGTTTGGTAAGTGGCAAAGCCAATACAGATAAGCACTGAATATAGTAGCAATTTTTCTGCTTTTGACTTACTTTGCCTCAGTTTTGGGCATACAAGTCATTTACCTCAGTATGCTTATGACAAAGAGGCTGTGTTACACTAATTAGCATATGATTTTGACCATCCAAAAAATAATTATTAATTAAATTATTAGTAAATAAACTACTGATGATTTTGATGGGTGCTTGTTCGAAGGACCAGGCACTTATAACCTTCCATGTACCAGAAAAAAAGAAACACTGCTAGTAGATTTGATTTGTTATAATTTGTGTATCTGTATTGTTTTTGTATCATATCAAATACATGTAAAACACAAAAATTATTATATTAGATTTGTGTCGACACATTAAACATAAATTATTTTTTTTTGTTTTATGAAATTTTTTTGTTAAAATTTTAAATCATATTATTTTTAATTTTTTTTATCATTTGCTATGTCATTTTATCGTATTTAAAATTGTTAGGTTTACATGTTAATCATACAAGGCCTTTTTATCCTATTTGTATGTGTTTTCTTTGCCAAAAAATAAGACTACCAAGGATTTGCAGGATGACCGGTGATCCAACATACACCATGAACAAAATAGGCGGGATTGTGTCAGCATCACCTCCCTTTAGTGCCCTGGTGGGTCACTCCATTCCCAAATAACATTCCAATAGTCTTGAATTAAGTTGCTGGCTTAATGAAACCCGAAGGCCAAAACTAAGAGGTGCCATCTTTGCTATAGACAATTATCCACCCAACACAAGAGCTTCGCTGTAGGGGTAAAAACTTCATCTTAGTAGCTAATAACACGTACGATTCCCAGATGAATTGAGAAAAATGCAAACTTGAAGTCTGAAGACATGAAAATTGCTCAATTGTTGCCATAAACAGTCATTAGGTTCCAACCAAAGCTTTTGTTTGAGTATATTAACCAATACAATTTTATCACTATATATTTTATAACATATATATATTTTTATTTACTCGATGAATATTTCCATACCCTTTATTTAATTACTTTTTAACCAAATTAAATCTTATAATGATGAATTGCACATGTTCAAAAATAAGTTGTTCCTGGAGTGATGCTTAATTAAAATGAATTGAAACTGTTCAACTTTTGAGTTTCATGGTTGGGGTTTGATTTGGTTTGAAGTGATCTCAATACAAAAGTGAATCAAATGCAGTTGGAAGTCAATTTGTAAAAATGAGGTACAATTTTGCTAATGGTTTGCTTTGGTTCCACAAAGGGAACACCAAAACACATCCCAAATTTGCATAAAAAAACATGCACGCTCAAAGGTAATGCATAATGCAGGAATTCCACCACTACATTGTAAAGAAAATTTTCCTAGAAGTTCTTTTTCCCATCAAAAGTTTGACCAAACTGCCAATTAGCCGGTGCCACGTTATCGAATTCCACCATTTTCCCATCACTGGTAGTCACCTGAAATGATAAGCTCTGCCCTGTTAGCATTGTTCCAGTCTGCCAATTCACTCCCCAGTTGTGGCTCATCTGAATCCACCCAGTTCCTGAGCCCTTGATTTTCACATCCTTAATATCACCAGCACCTCCAACATTGTACATCAATACCTCAGTCCAGTACGGGTTTCCCTGGACCTGGAATTGAACCCCACCTTTCTTGGAACACATGACACGTCGGTACATGACAGGGATGATTCCAGCTTTGTATTGTGCTAGTTTTGTAAACATTGGCATTGATAGATCAAAGTGTTTTAATGGGGGATTGCACCAGTTTCCATCAGGTTTTGAGTAATTTGGAGGGCAAAAATTTGTTGCAGTCACTTTGATGGTACCAGCATTTGGATAACACCATTGAGGGTTATTCACACACTTGATTTCAAAACAAGCACCACAGGTAAGTCCATTGTTAAATAGAGCTGTGCTAAGGGCTGTCGTCTCGAGTCCATACCCTTGTTTGAATAGATCACCATATCCACAAGCTCCTTCTACAATGATCATATATAATTTAACAATTATTTAATTTAAATAAAATAATAATTCATATATCTGTATCTATTTATTTCATATCTAACATGTCTAAAATATAAAATTATTATATTATAATTCATATCCACACATCAAATACAAAACATATTTGTTTTATTTATTAAAATTTTTAAATCATATCAATTTCATATACATATATATATATATTCATATCACGTTTAAAATTGTTTGAACTAAATATTAATGATAAAAGATTGTAGCATTTAGTCATGAAAGAACTAATAGTAGCAAATACATGTATAAAAATATAATGATAAACTTACCCATGGTTTCTTTACCACCCATATCACCATAGAACGTTGCATGTGCATCATACCAATTGGCATCAATATTTTGACTGCCAAAATGTATTTGCCTCTTGCCCATGGCTGCAGCCAAATAGACCATGAAAATGAGAAATGAAAAGAAACTCTTAAGGCTAGCCATTGCTGAAAAAAATATATAGAAAAATTAAATTAAATTAAATCGAAGCTTTGATAAAAAGTTGAGTCCAAAGACTGATATATAAATAATGGTCAAGGTAAGATATAAAAGGAAAGGAAAATGAAAATGAAAATTCAAAAAAAAAGAAATGAATGAGGAAATTAAGAAAGAAATCAAATGTTGTCTGTAATTTTGGAAAAAACAGCAAATTATTTAGTCAATGTGACTAAAAACTATTCATCATTAATTTAATACACCTAGACCATTAAATAACAATAATTTACTTAGCAAAAAAAATCAGGCTTTTTAATATTAAAAATGGTTTTAACCTTTCAAAGAAGATTGTATTATATAAATTATATTATTAAATACAAATAATAGTTAATATGTAATTTAATGCTTGAACTATATTACTTTTAATTATTTAATATCTATAGAAAAAAATTCATGATTAGATACCTTTATTTTTTTGTATTTTGTACCTTTAACTAATATCGTTAGTCAAAATAGTAGCATGACAAATACTGATCAATAAAAATATATGATATGTCATAATATTATTAGGTTTTTTTATCACATAAATTTATCATTAATGGAATTAGTATGTGAGATAAAATATTTTGATGAAAACCAAGCTTGGATACTTAATCATGAAATTTTTCCATAGATACCAAATTATAAAAAGTTGTATAATTTAAGAAATAAATCACATAGTAACAAAAATTAAAACCATCTAAAAAAAATGGAATCATACCCCTTGCAAATTGCATTATATCAATTTTAATTGATACTAAATAATTTTAACGCCAGTAGAAATTAATTGTGTGGAATAAGACTGAAGTGAAATTCTTTTTTTTTTTTTTTAGCAAAGAATGAAGTGAAATTCTGTGTGTAAAGTGAGTGTTCTTCCCTTCGCGTGTGTATGTGTATAAAGTGAGTACTTCCCTAAATGTAAATTATTCTAAAAAAAAGAATTCTTTTCTAAAAATCATTCAATAATAGTAATTAGCTTCTAACCTAGCTTGCTTTAGTGGTAACGAAGATGTCTTAGAATTTTGAGGTTTTAGATGCAAATCTTATTATGTGTGTGTTTGATTTAATTTATATTGGATTTGTTTAGTTATTTTCTAATTTATTGGTTAATTATTTAGTGATTTTTATATATGAATGTATCGGTTAAAATATTAGAAAAGTCTTTGAACTATTTTATTTTTAAATAAGCCCTTATACTTTTGTTACACTCAAATAAATTCTTATTTCTTGATTTGTATCCATAAGACCTTATTTTAAACAAAAATTAATTTATATTAAGAGCTTATTTAGGTACAAAATAAATGTTAATAGCTTATTTGGATACAAATTAAAAATTAAAGACTTATTTGGGTGAAATTAAAGTTTAAGAATTATTTTGTATAATAAAAATATAAGGATTTATCTAAATAAAGTGATAACATTCAAGATTTTTTTGTTATTTTAGCCAAAAATTTCCTTTGTAGATAGTTTTATTTTATTATCCTAATTTTGTGTAACAAAGGTTATTATTAGGCTCATTTATTGAGAACTAAATTTTGTGATTATACCGAAGATAAGTCAAAGAGATTCTAGGAAATCATACCAAAGAAAATGCTAAAATTTCCTTAATAGCAATGCTTATTGGAATTTTTTGGTTAAATTATGTTAAAGATTTTTATATTTTGTGAAAATTTAAAATTTATTTTTTATATTATAATTCATACAAATTTAATTTTCGCACTAATTTTATCAAATTTTTTTATAAAAATGTTGATGTAACCATTGACTTTAAGATGTGTTCGTTGACTTTTGCTAACATGGCATTGACTTGCTAACATATCAATTAAGATTCATAAAATCAATTATTAAATTATGCAAATGATCTTTGCAGTGACACAAAATTTAAAATTTAGTTCTTGTATTAGCACAAAATTTAAAATTTAATCCTTATACTCTCATAAAATTTGAATTTAGTCCTTTTAATATAAAAATATATTGAATTTTTTTAGAAATTTTTTTAGTTTTTTAAAAATATTAAACTTTAAAATTGTCATAATATTCTGTCACAATATTTGGTCATAATATTCTGTTACAATATTGAAAATTTTATCACACTATTCTATTATAATTTTCATATATTGTTACTAAATCTATTACAATTTTTTGTTACTATTGTAAAATATTATTACTAATTTGGTCACTATTTCTTATTACATTTCGTAAATAAAATATAAATTTTGTTATTAATTTTGTCACAATTTTCTATCATAATTATAGCATATTGTGGTCATATAAAAAATTTAAATAAATTTATTAAAAATCTATAACAAATTTGTCAATATATGATATAAATATGTTACTATCTAATTTTAGTTAAACTATTTTTTTATTAATTTATTAAATGAATTAGAATTATAATTCAATCCCGGGTAAATTTATCCATAAAATAACTTTTCTATTCCTTTAAATTAAACCCTATTTAAATAATTTTTATAATAAAATTTAGGTTCAATATTTTAAATACATTAAAATAATTTACTAAAGTCAATTTATATTAGTTTTAAAATTAACCTTATTATTTACTTTAATATAATTATTTAGATAAGTTCTTTTTGCAAAGAGATAAAAAAATTGAAAGTTTTCATTGTTATATATGATATTGATGTTTTGATTTACCAAATTAGTCATTTTATTTTTTTCATTTTGCTATGATTCAAAATTCATCCTCCAAATAAGTAGGATATTACCTCTCCTAGGAATTTGGCTTGAATTTCCTATTTTATTTGGTTGGATAGAATGGTCATTTTATTAATAATTTATTTTGGCTTCATTATAAATACAGCTTTATGCAATACTTTGGTTAATTATAAATTTTGTTCTATGATATATTTAAATTAATTAAAATAATATTAACTTTGATATATTAATTTAAACTATTAATGTTATAATTGATTTACATAAATATAATAATAATATTATTAATAATTAATTACATATAAAAAATATTTTTAAAAATATTTTTATATTAAAGGAATTAAAATATTTTTAAAATTTAATATTTTTAAAAAAACTAAACAATTCTTAAAAAATTTAAAATATTTTTTTATATTAGAGAGACTAAATTTAAAATTTTATGTGAGGACAAAAATAATTTTTAAGTTTAATTAGTGATTTCATCATCTACTACGATAGCAAGTTGACATCACATTAATAAAGTTAATGCTCACATTATTAAGTCAATAGTTATGTCATCATTTTTAATGACAAAAAAAAAAAAAACGAAATTAATGATTGGATTAAAATTATTAAATAAAAAATGTAAAAATTAAATTTGTATAAATTATAATATAAAAATTAAATTTTAAATTTTTATAAAATACAAGAATCTTTAGCATAATTTAACAGAATTTTTTGGTACATTAGATAAAAGAAAATTTTATTATTGTGAAAAAATATATAAAAAGAATTCTTTCTATAATCATAAAATACTATTATTAATAAAATTTATATTTGATTTATTTTTAGTTTTAGAATATATTTATTAATATTTTTTACTACTGTAATTATTTTTTTAAATTCAAATCTTTAAACCTAACAAATTGAGCCAAGCCTTTGATAAATCTTTTAAAAGACCAATTGAATCTGACTTAGGCAATCCAACTCAGAAACAAATTTATATATAAGTCTCATTTATTAATTATTTACATCATTTAATAAACAAAATCATTTTTGGCATAATTGGAAACAAATGAACTTTAAAATTTATTCTTTAAATTTCTCTACTATTATTCTATTTTTCAAATTTATTCAGAAAATAAAAAATCCCTTTCTTCCAACAAAATAAAACGAAAAAAAAAAAAAAAAACAAAATAAGAAGCTTATCCGATAAGTTGGGTAGCTGAAGCTGACTGCTAGCACTTGCCGATGACAGTGAGGAAGAATATAAGGGTATTTACGTAAATTACTCAGCAACTATTTTTTAAATTATTAAGCACCTTCATAAGAACATAAGCGGCAATTAATCGCCTCGATTAATAATCTAAAAATAGATAGTACAGCTTGTACAACAAGGTAGAAACCAATAACAAGGAGTCAATCAAGGGTATTTTAGTAACTTCATTAATTTCCCCAATTCCGTTTTAATCTTTCTATAAATATAATTCATCGAAAAAAATCCCCCCAAAATTTCACACTTTCCCCGCCATTTGCTTCTTACTTCTGTCTTCCCAATCTTTTTCCTTTTAGGGCTCAAAACCACTTGAGTTTCTCCAAAGAAACCCTAATTCCTTTCAAATTACCCTCGGATTTATACATTATTACGAAAATACCACTCGTTTCTACTCTCTTCATGCTCTCTCTCTGCTGCAAATTCCTCACTCGCCGATTAACTGATCGATAAGCAATCCAAGCAGTATGTCGGAACAACCTGGCCCGGGACTAATGGACCTGGCTCACCGTGGCATCGGCCTATCCAACACCATCCACTCCGAGGTCGCGCAGTGCTTGCCGCTTCCTTCGTT